GGGGCCTATTTACTGTGTTTAAAGGTCATAGGAGAAAATGAAGGATGTGGCCTGTGCGTGTGGCATGAGCTGTAAACCCGCCTCAAATCTTCTGGATGAAGTGTCTCTATTAGCTGCTAATCCACCACAAATTTACTATAAAATCCGTGTAACATGTTTGTTCTTACCGAGGTAGAAAGTGAGGGTCGTCGTTACAAAGGACATGAAGTAAATCCCGACAGCGAAGGACACCATGCCGATCAGAATGAGCGAGGTGTCGCTGCAGCAGCGTCGAAACCCGATGACACCTATGTAACTGGTGAGGAAGATCACACAGCCTGCTGCATTCCCGTACCCCACCTGAAGAAACAGGAAAAGAAATGAGAAAAAACAGAAGGGAGAGATGTTCAGCGATAGAGAGGCAATAATAAACAGACTATGCAACTAGAACAGATGGCATTAATGCTTAAGTGCCTTAAATCGGCATTATTTTTAATGACCAGCAGGGGGCGACTCCTCTGGTTGCAGAAACACTCCTGGCTGTATAAACATTTGTGGGAAAACATGCCTCAGCTCCCTCAGTCTGTTCAGAAGACTATAGTCATACAGTCAGAAAGGAGGATGAAGAGTGTGCTCATTAGCTAACAACATACCAATCACAAGCCAACCGATGGCTAAGCTTAGACACTAATATTTAGAATTGTCCCGTCAGCTTAAAATAGAGTTAAAACTAGCCGTGTTAATTTTATCCCATCTTTTTTGCATCAAATCACAAAAATGGGGTAAAAAACTTACTAGAGTGGCGTTCCAGCTGAGTGGTGCTCTCAGCACAAAGGCACCCAATACTTCAATGGCTCCGCCCACTGCAAAGTTGTACAGGATGGCAGCCACAAACAGCAGAGCCACATTCACTCTGTTTATCTCAACAGGAGTCTCGACAACTGAAGAGTTAGTGGAGGCGCGTACCAGGAGGTGGCGGTTCTCCTCCAGCTCTCCATCGCTTACACCTTTCACCTTTAATAAAGACGGACATGCGTGGTATATGAGCTCGGCGAGGTGGTAGAGCGAGCACGTGTGGCTAAAACTGAAGGCAGAACATGAATAAAGATGGTTCTAGTTATAAGACACATAATTACAGATTAATGTAATTATTTACATTATTATTACAGCAGTACACATATGTTTAATGATCGACAATTTAGCTTGCTGTTTTTTATTTTATGTCATAGATGTACTTTTAGGTCATTAGGACATGGTGAGGTCACCAAAAAGAAAAAAGTTTTTTTTTTCTGTTTTTGGCTCTGTATGATGTCAGTAGGATCAGATCCTCTGAATGTGGTTATCTCTACCTGGTGTTCAGAGCCCTTTTGTTTTGAAGGGGCAGCTAATCAGAAAAAACTTACCTTTAAGGGGGAGGAGCTAGAAGCAAAGTGGATGAAGGGCCATTATAAAATATACTGTGAATCATGCAAAGCTGCTCCAATAGAGTCCAAGAATAAAAATAAACAATCTGATTAGAAATACACAAAAAAACACATGGCTACACTGGACCCCCGCCCCCTCTGAACCCTCTCACATGCACACACTGACCTGCAGCAGGAATATGGAGTGTAAGAGGCAGAGCAGATGCAGCAGTGTGCTGATGATAAGCAGGATGGTCCCATGTCCCAAACTGGAGCTGTACAGGTGGAACAGATGGCCAGAAGCAAGGCTGCCCACCACGCCTGCTAACCCATACGTGAACTCCACCCTCATCAACACCTGCAAGGGGGCACAGGGTTATTTCTTTTAATATAAATCAGTTAAAGTAAACCGTTTTGCTTTTGTTTTTTGTTTCTTGTTTGTTTGTTTTTTTCAGTTCAATTCAGGATCAGGGAGTAAAAGCCATCTGTCACAACGGGTTTGGGGGTGAAGGGAGGCAAACAGGACAAAGAAACACTGTGGAAGAGAGCAAGAGAAGTAATAATAACTTAATAATAACTAATGACTACATGCAGATTGGTGTATTAACACAGGGAGTGAAGATGAAACAGTGCATCATGGGAAGCTCCCAGCTTTCTAGGCCTATTGCAGCACAACTAAGGAAGGATTCAGGGTCACTTGATCTAGAACTATCACCATGCTTTATCAAAAAGGAAAGTCTTAAGTTTAATCTTAAAAGTAGAGAGGGAATCCAGACCGGGAGCTGGCTCCACAGCAGAGGGGGCTAACCCCTGGGTGATTTGGTAATTAAATGTAATTTAACAGTACTCTCAAACTAAGAGGGGGGAAGTGTTTATGGCTTTATGTTAAAAGTTTAAGCTTACTTTTTTTAAGTTCACTGAATATATATATGAGTTTTATTGTGTTTCTTTTAGGTACAACATCTGCATTGCATAGATTTTAGTTAAAAGAGGTGACGCAGACTCGTATATCGACCAATTGTGCTCACATGAGCAATAAAACCTAAAGGCCATTTTTGAATAAGGGACATCCCTGAAAAAAATAATAGCGAAAGACTGAAAAATCTGGTTAAAAGAGAGAGAGAGAGAGAGAAAGAAAGAAAAGGTCTTCTTTAATGGCCCAACTCATTCGTTTATATCCTTGTAATTCTTAGTTTTTGCACATTATCATCAGTTTTACAGTCAAACACAGAGTTTTGTGATTGAAAGTTCCTTCCACGGCTTTGCAGCTGCAGCACGCCTGTAACTCACCTTGGAGCGGTCGGCCGCCGTGGAGCCGAGCGAAGCTAGAGTCATTACACCGGGCCAATATGCGGTGAACCCGCCGGAGAGCCCGAGGAGAGTCCCCGCCGCGAACATCACCTGCAGCGGCAGATTTAGAACGACTACCAGGAGCAGGATGACCCTAGACAACAGGTAGCCGGTGAGGGGGGACACGATGGGGGCTTTCCTCCGGCCGCGGTCGCTCAGTCTTGCCAGGAACAGCGCAGGAAAGATGGGAGTCAGCTGGATAATGAGGTTGTTGATCATGTAGAAGTCGGTCATGGCTTTCTGCTGGGCATCCTCACTGGAGTGGCCCGGGTCGGTAGCGTTGGCACAGCGGTCCCTGACCACCATCTGCAGTGCGGTATCAAAGAGAGTGCTGCCCAGCTGCTCGAGCACGATGATCGGCTCGATCTGCCGAAGCATCGCGAAGGCTGCTTGACACAAGTTCGGTACCACCATGATCTGGATTGTTGTAACTTTGTAAAAAAATAAAAAATAAAGATGACCGACCTCTAGGACTTCTTCCGCCAGTAGTAAGTGAAGGGTTGTGCGCGTGTGCTTCAAACTAAGCAGCCTCACCGAGGAAACACGCCCACTTCCTCATCCCCTGCTGCTGATCAGCTGGCTTCAGTGCACTCTGTCAGATTTTAGGAAACCACCTTCTTTCATCAGGCTCTGGGCCACTATTTACATTTTCATCATTACCATTTCTCTGTGCTCCCTATTATATCTCCACACAAATCATCTCTCGTTGCATTTATCTAGGTTTGAGATATAAAACTGAAACACAACTGAGCTGCAATCCAAAACATGGCATTAGATATGAACCCATTGAAGGCAGTTAATCCATCTCAGCTGGTATACTTTCATTTTCATTTACACTTTTAAATAAATTATCAGTGTGTGACTTTAAAATGTGAAAAATGCTGAAAACCCCCCCAGCACGCACCACCCATGTAATTACACAGGTATTGCAAAGCCAAATCAAATGTGCAGTTCCTGTAAATTTCTATGAAGAGCTGTAGACGAAGAAGATATCGCATGCATACAACAGCACATATACAGACATTACTGCCAGCTCATTTCAAGGTAAACCACAAAGCAGGTAATCCTCTAACAGGTGAAGCCTGAAACAGGAAACATTTAATTTCCTTCCAATAAACAGCAGTGACTGCAGTCTTTGTGGATAGGCTTCTGCTAGAGTGGTCTCTGTTGTATGTTGAGAGAAATAATTTGAACTGAAAAAAGCGCATTCACAATGGGTTCCCACAAGCTCAACAATGCACTAACCACAAGGTACTTTCAAAAGCTGCTGCTTGCAGCTCACAAATAGAACTCAAGGAAGTGTTTGCTTGTTCAGTTCTGGTCCGATAATGAGACATACCTCCTTCAAAATGTTTGTAATGTAAAGTGTACTCTAAGTATACTCCCGGGCCAAGTCAGTGGGTAGCTGTTCAACTGCTCCTACCTCATCATTCAATCATATGGAGACATCTCAAAGTATTTAGGCAGGTAGTCACAGTCAAAAAGACATAAATTCAAACTGTGCATCACAGTTAGGAAGATATGATCTAAGTGACTTTAAACACAGCATGGTTGCTGATGTCAGATAGACTGGTCTGAATATTTCACAAACTGCTCGTCTGTTTACAGAGAAGGATCCAAAAAGAGAGAAAACATCCAGTAAGTGGCAGTTCTCTGGAGGAAAATGCCCTGTTGATGTCAGAGAATGCGCAGAATGCTTTGAGCTGACAGGATGGCAACAGTAATTCAGTTAACCACAGAAGCAGATGGGCTACAGGAGCAGATCACACCAGGTGCCACTCCTGTCAGCTTAGAACAGGAAACGGAGACTGAAATTCTATTGTACACCAAAACGGGACAATATCCATCCATTCGTCCATTTTCAACTGCTTATCCAGATCACGGGTGCAGCAGTCTCTAACGTGAAGCCTAAATGTCCCTCTAACCAACTGCCTCATCCAGCTCTTCAGTAGGGGACACCGAGGCGTTTCCTGGGTATTCCTTTGGGCCTTATCCTGGTGGGACATCAGTCAGAACGCCTGGACAATAGAAGATTAGAAAAACTGTTGCCTGGTGTGACGAGTCTCAATCTCTGCTGCCACATTCAGAGGATAAGGTCACAGCAAAGTGTACCTAATGAAGTGTCCCTTTGGTTAGTGTATGTATATGGACAATGAAATGATCCCCCCACCTCCACCTCCAGTATTAACACTGAAAACACATGCAAATGAACCACTCAGGAAACCCACAAGTACAGGTTTTGTTTTTAATGAGAAAATATTCATAATATGTATAGTGGGTGTGTAACTGTGAGCCTTACATGTGCTATAAAATAACAAAGCAGAGTATGAGCATACAAGTGGTTAACATAGGAACAGGGGTTATACTGTGTTTATATTGTAGTAATAAGATTGCTTTATCACACACACAGACAGTGAGTCCCACACTGGAGAAGCTCTGTAGGCCGAAAACAAGCTACCAGCATTTAAAATGATAAATAAAATCGTCTCTGCACCATAAATTCAAACATCAAAAGCATAATAATAATAATTATAATAATAATAATAAATCACACCATTCATTAATTCCTCTGTGTGTACGTTTCATAAGCGACTCTAATGAGAACTTTGATTGGTTCCCACAAGGATGAAAACCTTTTCCGTCTTGTTGTCTTTTAGCCTTTAAGTCAAAAATAATCTCATACCAGCGTTAAAGACACTGCACCTCTGCTGCACCACAGAAGACCCTGAAATGAGAACTTGGATGATTCTCTGGAACATATGTGTGGGTTTTAATATTATTTGTTTCGGGTTTGGTGGAAGTGGACACCGCAGAGGCATGAGTCCTTGATTTTCACTTTTGGTTTATGGCGTTTGTGCCACGCTTTCTTGACAAAGCATATCACAAGACAGCCGAGTGGAATAAGTTGCAAAGGGTGGCTTGACTTGATAGATTAGTAGATGTCCAGCAATTACATCTGTGGTTTAGCTCAGCGTACATTCAGTGTGTTTGGAAGCAAAGAGAGAAGTTGCTGCCTTGCTGAAGGGCACTTGGACAGGTCAAAACTGTGACTTTTGGTTTACAAAAACGCTTTTGTTTCTCCTCACATCTGGACGCAGAAACGAATCTCACAGGCTACGACAGAGGAATACAATCAAAAGTTGTCCAGAAATACCGTTTCCACAGCCAGTTTGACACATTTCTACTTTTCATTTTAAATTAAAGACAGTCTGTTATACTCCAGGGAGAAGTGTGGTTGTGTTAAAGTGTATTTACTGTTTTACTCTTGAAGCTGAATCCTGTTTTTCCTCGTCACTTTGTATGATTTCAACACTTCAAAACACAAAATCAATGTCATTCTGCAAAATTCAGTCACAATACAGTTAGTAAAAAAACAAAAAAAACCCTTACAAGCCCAACTTACAGCACAGCTCAGCGTCTCAAAAGACCTTTATTGCCTTCTTTTTGCCACTGCACTTTTTTTTTTAGCTGTGCTTGGTTCAGGTTAGGAAAGGAGTGTGAATCCATTCGCACACTTGTACGCCTTAAAAAGGACGCGGAGAGCTCAGGCTGGTGGGTTTTCTCTAAATAGCATTCTGTTTTGGTATAACGACTTCTTATAAAAACCTTTTTTGATTATTTTTTTTCATCAAACTTTATCCTCGGCTAGCAAGTAGATACAGACGTTCATAGGTCAAATACACAGTCCTACCTCAGTATAATACATGAAACAACTGCTTACATCATCAGAAAGCACAGGTCAACAAAGCCACGTAGCCAACAAAAGTAAAATAAGTGATTTTTTTTAATATAAAACCCCTGACCCAGCCCTTTAATTAACACACACATTCACTCAAATGGTGCAAGCACTACCAGCAGGTAGGTCCCCCCCCCCTCATTCTTTCTGTTTGCACTGGAAAAGAAGCGATTACAGGCAAACTTTCTATCTAAGGTGGTTGCTTATTTTCCCTAAGGTCTACCGACAGTGTAGTAATGTAGGATAGGAGAGGATACAATACATACCGTGTACAGACAAGCACTGGCGGTCTAAGGCAAGTTTAGTTTTGCTAGTTTTGCAAATTTCTTGACTAGCATTTAACACAAAAAGGATGCTGACCGCTCAAAATTCAGTAAAGATGCTTGACAAGAAGGCAAAAGCTCCTGGCAAGCGTGTCAAACTTGTGTCATATCTGCACTGTGCCATTATGGGCTCTGAAAGTGACGCTTTGGGGCACCTTTCGGTTCGGTTCCTGGAAAACACAGTAGCTTTCCAGCAGTAAATCCAGGTAAAAGTATTTCTGAAATTACACAAAATAAGAGGGTGATCTGGCCTCTCCTTGTCTACTTCCTCTCAGAACTTTCTTTTCTTTGAATAGCTGCATCTGCCTAACTTTTATATTGTCCTCTTGATTAAAAGCTTTCAGCCACACTTTCAGAAGATGACTGCGGTTATTATATAGCACGCGCAGATGAAACCACCATCAGAGAGTCTCAGGCAACCAGTCAAAATAAAAGCTTTAGATCTTATTTGAATAATAGCATAAAGGTGAAAAATCCTAAGAATATTTCAGTCATTTAGCATCTACCAGCTATTAAAAACACTAAACATCGCTCTAAAACCACCATCAAACACCTTTGAAGTGTCTCTTTCATTGCTGACCACCTTCACATATTTCCCACTTCCTCAGCCACTTAACATGCTAATATACCTTCAGTTTTCAGGTCCAAAAAGCCCCACTGGTTCACACTGCTGGGGTCATGTGATCTTCAGATAAGCTCAATAAAATAAATAGTTTTCCTTCCTGCTTTCTCACTTTTCCTTCAGTCTTTCTCTTCCTTCATTCTCTCCAATTGGCCTGTTAGTTGTCTCTGAAGGGAGTTTTTTACTCCTCCTCCTCCTCTTCTTCCTCCTCTTCCTCTTCTTCCTTGCCTTCCTCATTGGCATAGATGCCGGCTTCCCACTTCAGAGCCATGTCGCTTTTCCTCCTGGTCACACGAGTGGCCTCCAGAACCTGATGATTACAAAGCAACCAATCAGATGCAAGTGCGACCGGGAGCAATGTAATTGTTACAAACATAAAAACAACAACAACAAAAACCCCAAAACACGCACACCACAGTGACTTGAACATGACATGCAGTGTATGTCAAACACTGAGGGCGCGCACATCTAATCACTTTAATTAAATGACAAAAATAAAGAGCACCTGCAGTGTTTGACAGCAACAACAAAAGTAACTTTACTCCATTTCAGGGAAAATTCATGCTTGAACACCACATTAAACGTGTCCAGTCATTATTCCTCTCCCACACCCATGCTGATACTCACAATCACCTTCAAGCAGACAGACAAGGACAAGGGGAAAAGATTTCTTTGTCAACTGGAATCCAGGGTAGATCAGAACAGGGTGTAGGTGAAGTGGATTGTGGGTAGGGGCAAAAGGCTGACAGCAGTCATGATGATAGAAAAGTATGGACATGAGCTTCTCAAAGCTCAGGCCAATTACGTAGTGTCAGACTGAAGCAAACCCAAGTACCATATCTTTTAACGACTACACATTTTTGAATATCATTTACAAACATATTTATCATATATAGCTATATGGCACCATTAAAATGGCTCCTTCTGTTTTAAATATTGAAAGAAACTTTTTAAATCAACACTCTACACAGCATGTACATAAATTGGAATGTGTGGATTAAAGGTTCACACCAAATCCACGGACAAGCACATGCAGCACCAACACCACAGAGCAGAACAAGGAAATGAGAGTACAACCAGACCTGGGAGCAGACATAAAAACACATGTGGGTTTTGTTCAGAAAGTGCCCCGTCTATGGTTTCCAATCTACCATCGACATTTCCAGCACTGGTTTCATTTCTAAAAGACTGACTGAAGGACAATTAGAAGATGAAAACAACAAAGTGGAAGTGGAACTCTTCTCATTCTGACTCTGTAACTGGACTCGGGAAGTCAAAATCACTGTGAATAGGCAGTTTCTTCAGGTGATACTGATATATGCTACACTTCTGTGCAAAGGTTTTAGGTAATTAACACATTTAGATTCTTATTATTAATAACTGAATGTGATGAGGGACCCAAAGTCCAATTAATAAATTATGATCCCAACGATCCAATGAGACACACACAAGTAATGCAAATTTAAACTTAGTCTGATTATTTTAATAGAGCTCTTTTTTTATATAAAGGTTTTATTACAGGAGCTTCATGTTTATTGCTCAGCTGGGAGTTTGATGATGTTCAAAACATAACAGCAGGTTATGGTATTAAATGGAAACCACATTCATAACTGTAATTTCTTTTCTTTCATAGAGGATAATCCAGTATATTCTCAGCTAACAGGGTGGAAGCACTGAAGCACTTTTCCTGAGTCTTTAGAGAATCCAGCCAGCTCTTAGTATGGCTCCCATGGGCCACTTAGTCCAAATACTCTTCCTAAACAAAACTGACTATTCAAGCTCACCCTAGTACCAACACTGACTCAGAAATAGCTTATTCTGAATCCAGAGAGACCATGATGCTGTAAAGGGAAAGGGTCCACACACTAAATATTAACCAGATTTCTTTTTATTGTACCCTGAAGAAAGCTTTATGGAAGTGGATCTAAATCCATCCTTAGTTCACTTTTAGTACCTGAAACGTTTGCACAGCACTGCATAAAGCTGATTTTTGCCATCTACTTGGACTCTGTTGTATATGAATCTAATGTGTATGGTCTGACCCAGGTCTGTCAGTAAAGGCAGTTACAGGAGGGAAGAGATTCCTCAGGTACCTCAGTGGTTACCTCGTTAGCCAGCAACAAACGGGCATACTGATCGAGCAGCAGGAGAGAAGCAACAGTACACGAAGTCAACACATGTGATGTCATCATGGATAAACAACAGCACAATTAGCAACAACATCAGCAGCTAACAACTGCGCAGCAGAGATGTTTGTGTGGAATAAATTCAGTAAAGTAACTTGAAGTATGTGATTTTACAGCAGCTGGAATGAAACGTTCCCTCCCAATGGATCTGCTGTGTGTGAATATGAACTTGAGCGTGTGGTGCTCATGAACTGAAAAGTGAAACTTCTGTCTGTCATTTCTGATTATGCAACATTTCCAACAATTTCTTTGTTTTCGCGTGCCAAACCTTTCACCTTTTCGTGAGACCCCATTTTAAATACATGAGCATTCTGGTGTCGAATTACATTTATTACAAAACAACAAAAAAAAAGACAAAAACATGGGGTCAGGACAGAAAGCCCCTTTTACTTTCACTCTGACTGTTTGACTCTCTTCTCTTCCAGGCTGGGAATTACCCTTTGGTGATGTACAGTATGTGCTCATACCAGGTGGCCGGCTGAACAAATACGTATTATGTGACAAACTGGGTCATCTCTTGGCACTTTCACAGAGATCAGGGGATTTATAATAACTGATGCTCACAACTACTACATTAGTTTGTGGTGCTTTGTATTACACGTTTTCTGCAACAGAAAGCTTTTGATTTTGCAGTGAGAAGCACCTCAGTCTCTTTCTCTTATTCTGTGTCTAGTCATTTATCTTTCCCTGGGTTGAAATACTTACACTGTTGTCCTCAATTTTCTCTCTCCTCTTCACTTTGTGTGTTTCGTAGTCTTCCATAAGAGTCTGCATGAAGTTTTTGGGTCGTGATCCTCCAGAGTCCTCACTGCCAGCATCAGACAG